GAGGAAACCGCTTTGTTTCTGCAGTGAAAGCGCTTCCTGCTGACCAATGACAGAAAATTTACCAAATGGGAAAATTAACCCATGTTTTGAGGCATAAACACACAGATTTGTAAATGTGAACAGGTGGATTGACAAGATAATGCATTATAAAAATCTAAACAATTAAGACAAATTATATTTATATTGTTATTTAATTAATGTAATAATTGATTAACAATAATTGTTTAAATTGATATCATAATTGATACAACTCGTCCATTTACTTAAAAAGTAATGTAAAACTTTTTGTTTTGTGAAAGTCATTTTACAGTTTAATATATTACCATAGTCATTGCCCTACTGCGCTCATATGATATTTTATTTGTGCAGGTCTTAAAAAATGTCTTAAGTCTTACATTTGAGTTTAAAAATCATGCAGATACTGAGTTTAAGATGAGTTAAGGGAGCTCTTTTGATCCCTTAAATTTATTAAGGTGAAATAACACTTAAATAATTAAGGGGAATACTTAATGGCAGTCTTAAGGTTCCTTAAGTTGACCCTTAGCGTTTTTTCTTGCAACCCAAGTTTCACTAAGGGCTCCCATAACCTTATAACTAAGGGATTTCTTAGCATAAGGGCTTTCATGCAACCGGGCCCTGGGCGTCATTCTGGACTGTGACCTTAGTTTTAAGTCTCATATTAATCAAGTGACAAAATCTTGTTTTTATAATTAGAGAAATATTGCCAAGATTCGTCCTTTTTTATCTTTGGATGATACTAAGAAACTCATTCATGCTTTTATCTTCGCTCATCTTGATTATTGTAATGCTATATATGCTATGTGGCTTGCCTAAGGGTTCTATAACGAAGTTACAACTGATACAAAATGCAGCAGCCAGAGTACTAATGAAACAAAAAGGAGATCACTAGTGTGCATTGAATTTATTTAATACACGAGTTTCACAATTTGAGTTGAATTACTGAAATAAATGAACTTTTCCACGACATTCTAATTTATTGAGATGCACCTGTATTACACGGGTTTGAATGGA